TGCACTGATGAATATATTGATCCTGTTCCTATCTGCTGTTCCTGTTTCATAGCCATTAGCCTCAGGGAAGTAGAGTTCTGATGAGTCACGAGAACCCCACTCACCAACCCAGAGGGAAGGTAGGGGGATGAGTAGAGGTAGAGGGAAGCCCAGCCATTAGGACCTAAGGTTTCGAAAGCTCCCTGTCTAGCATCCCCACTAGGCCCCATAGTACATGACGGATATGATGATCCTGACGCTAGGAATGTGCTCCCAGATTTTGCTCCTCACTGACATGTCCGGGATCCATTTCGATCAACTGTGAGCTTGAGTTCATTCGGCTCAATGAACTGTGAGCTTGAGTTCATTCGACTCTTTTTTTACTAAGGGAATGCTTCAGGAGGTAGTTTCCTGGCCATACCAATACATATGCCCACATACAAATAACTCAAAAGATATCCCCATATACTAACAAAGAAGGGTCTTGCAGTTCACCAACCTTGAGAGGTTGATTGCCTTTTAGTATAATATGCAGGTTTGCTAAAGGTCGACAGTGAGATTGAAAATTATTGGAGTGTAAAAACCTTATATCATGGTCTGTGGGCAATAGACATAATTTCTCGGGTTAGGTACAAAGCGCTTATGGCGTTTGTGAATATGGTAGATCCTGTACTAAAGACTACAGCAATAAACTGCATCAACAACTGTACCAGCCGTCACAGAATATTGTTGTTGCAGTCAAACACACTGTCAAATCAAGAAATAGGTTGGGGGTTAGGCAGTTCATGAAAGCTAGATGACCTACTATGTGGGCAATAAATCTGTGGGTTGCTGCAGACAATCCTAATGGTTATATTGCGACTTTGAAATTTATACAGGAAGAAGTCCAGATATTCATCGCAACAGATTTGGGTATGACGTGGTGAACTGATATCAGTTTGGTTACAGTCTTAGGTCTTTTGTAGTACAATATAAAGGAAATATTTTCACCACATAATCCAATTATGTGCTTCGGCAAACATTACTGCTTTAGCAAACATTACTGCCTTGGAAAACATTACTTTTTTATAACTACTAATTAGGATGATGCCAGTCCAACAATTAACAGTTGGTCATGCTATTTGCAAATATTTTCATGTTCTAGATTGTGAAAACAATCAATTTCTAAACAAATGAGTAGTGATTATTTCAAATTTGAATAGCATGACCAAATTTTGAGGCTGGTTATGACACTAATAACTAAAGTCAATGGTGTAATGATTATCTAAGAATGTATGTAGTAATTGTAGAAATAAAGACATTTTGCTAATCATGATTTGAGTGTTCTTTTGTGGGTATCACAGACTTATTTTGGTGCCATACTATCTTTGGAGAGTAAGAAATATTGGGAATTTGTATTGATAACATGTTGCAGCAATAAAAAAGGACCTTTGATAAAGGTATTTGTTTCATGTGAGCACAAAATGTAAATTTTACTCCACTACCTAGTTTATATAAAAGTTCAATAAAAATATTTCTATTTATGCTACATGCATGAAACTTCGGGTACTTGTAGATCATAACCGTTTCTTTCAGTCATATTCATAAAATTTTTTGACATATTTGAAATTTGAACCGCTAAATACATTTATGCATAATTGCAACATTTTTTTATATTATAATTTATGCAAATTTATGCGAGTAAATCGTTAACCAATCTCCGGATGAAATTGAAATTGGTATCGTTGGAAAGCAGAAGTCCTCCTCTTTTGAACGGTGCAATTTCTGTTTCCGTGCGATGTATAGTTTGAGAGATATAAACGTTTGAAACAACACCACTCGAAATTACTACTTTTCCACCGGATGAGAATGAGTTAATATGCCGTCGCCACAGAAAAATAGAACATATTGATAAAAATTCTAGCCCTATATAGGGGCAATGGAAACACATGGAATGTTCTATTATACTTATAGTTTTTTAAATCAATCAACTAAATCCATCACCTGAATCAAGGAAAGAATAATCGGTCTTTCTGAGTTCTGATTTGTGGTACTGATATTTTTGAAATATACAAGTTCGTGACATTTATGAATCTGGTCAGACTGAATAAATGTGGTATAACATTCAAAAACAAAGCTTTCTCAGTGTGTCAGGAAAAGAATATATATTACGACTATATTTACGAAGAGGGTATTACTAGCTGTGGTAGTCTCTTTCATCTGAGATATGTTAGTCAGAAAGAAATTGTTTACTTTTAGCGCCTCTCAAGAAATATGTTAATTAGCTATAAATTATGCAAAAATCATTGATTATGGGCTCCAGAAAATCTAACTCGCGCCAAATACAGATTGATACCCGCAGGATTTTCTTCAGATCTTCTGAAAATAAGTATAAATCATTACAGCCAAGCACATTTCAGCGTAATTTTAGGTCCCCATTTGGAGATCTCAGGCTTTGATTTTAGTGTAATTTTGTAGACCGAACAAGAAGCAAAAACCGGTGTGCCGTCAAGTCGCTGTCGTTTATTCACTATTTATTCAAATGTTCTTATTTTTTGAAACAGAGAACCTGAATTGTATCTTAACTTGTTGATCTAGTTGAAATTTGGAAACAGTCAAGCGTTTTGACACAGCGCGGCTCTACAATTTACCGAAATTCAACCTTCGATTTTGCTTGAAATTAGCTCTGCACGGGTAAAATGAGTTTCGGCGTCTAGCGTAGCCATAAAAAAGAATTTTCAAAAAATAAATTTATTTTGGACACTTGTATACCAATGGCTTTCAACACACAAAAAATAAAGGAAATCTATTTTCCGAAGTCAAAGTCATCGGACCGCTCTTAGCGGGACTGCCACTTAAACACATAACCTGAGGTTGAACGTCTAGAATCAACGTCTCCTGCCCAGTTGGCGTCAGAATAACCATACAACTCGTCTCCATTCTCATCATCATTTTCACTCGTTGTAAATTTCAATCCAAAATTTAAAGTTCCTTTTATGTATCTTAGAAGTCTTTTGACTCCATTCCAATGTTCCTTGCTTGGATTTGACATGTATGAAGACAATATACTAACTGCAGCAGAAATGTCTGGTCTTGTCGCTGTCGAGATGTATGTCAAACATCCTATAGCCTGTTGATATAAATTCTTATCAAATCCTTCTTCTTCTTCCGTTCGCTTATGGTAAGTTGTTTCAAGAGGAGTAGAGATCGGTTTGCAATTAGCCATACCAAATCTGTCCAACACGCTCTCTAGATACTTCTGTTAACTGATGAATAGCGTTTTGGTTTCTCTGTCACGCTTAATTGTCATTCCGAGTACAAAATGAATTTTTCCTTGATCCGTCATTTCAAAATGCTTACATAACAAGTCCTTCTCTGTGTTTAACATGTTGATGTCGTTTGAGATAGGAATTATGTCGTCAACGTACACAGCCAAAATCACAAAACTTATGAATCCATTGTCATTCTTTATGGATTTCACATAAATGCAATTATCTGCATTGCTCTTTCTATAACCGTTTTTCGTCAGAAAACTATCGAGTGTTTGGTTCCAACACCTCGCTGATTGCTTAAGTCCGTATAAGCTCTTCTTAAGCTTGCAAACGTATTCTGGATGTTCTTGGTCAACGAATCCGTCCGGTTGGGACATGTAGATATCATGTTCTATGTAGCCATTTAAAAATGCTGTCTTGACATCCATCTGATGAATTTCTAAGTTGTGCTTGTTTGCCAAAGCTAATAGCGTTCTTATACTGGAATGTCTTGCAACAGGTGAAAAGACTTCCTCGTAATCGATTCCAGGTGTCTGTGAATATCCCTGAGCAACAAGCCGTGCTTTATGTCGGTCAACATTCCCATCTGCATCACGCTTCATTTTCATCACCCATTTCGATCCAATGACATTACACCCTTCCGGTGGTGGTACCAATTCCCATGTTTCATTACTAATTAGTGAATTGTATTCTTCTTTTAATGCTTGTTTCCATTTACTTGCATTTGCACCGTTCAAGGCTTCACTTATTGATTGTGGCTCTTCGTTTTCTGCAGTCAAGGATTCGGTAATATTGCACTCGTCTGGACTAAATTTCTTTGGTGCTTTTCTCTGTCTCTTTGTCTCGAGATTTTCTACTTGCTTCATGAAACTTTCTTCGTATGATTCTCCCACTGCTGGCAAATTTTCTTCGTCCTCAATGTCAGGTACAGTCGGTACAGGGACTTGATCTTCAGCATCATGGTGTTGTTCATGATCAACACTTAATTTCTCTTCTGGAACATCTTCTCGTATGATTAACTCTTTAGTGACTACTTTAAAATCATGAAACTTGTTTTCATAGAATACTACATCTTTACTTCGCACGAAATTCTTTGATTCTATGTCATATAGTTTATAACCCTTCGTGTCGAGTGGATACCCAATAAATACAGCTTTTCGCGATCTAGGGTCAAGCTTTCGTCGTAGATTGCTGGGTGTATGGATGAAACAAACTGATCCAAATACTTTTAGGTTTGACACATCTGGCTTTTTACTGAACCAGAGTTCATAAGGTGTTTTCATATTTAGGGATGTAGTGGGACTTCTATTGTGTAAGTACACAGCTGTGTTGACAGCTTCTGCCCAAAAGTTGATCGGCATGTTCGCATGAAATATCATGGACTTGGCAGATTCCATGAGTGTTCGATTTAATCTTTCCGAAACACCATTTTGCTGTGGAGTGTAAGGATTACTGTACTGATGTACAATTCCTTTATTTACACAATATTTGGAGAAATCATTAGAAACATATTCTCCACCATTGTCTGTTCGCAATGTTTTTACTTTCAACCCAGTAAAGTTTTCAACCATGCTAACATATTCTTGGAATTTCTCATAAACCTCTGACTTATTTTTCAGAAAATAAACTGTTACATATCTAGTGTAATCATCAGTAAATGTTAAAATGTACTTACTTCCACCAATGGAGTCAGTGTTCATTGGTCCGCATACATCACTGTGAATTAATTCCAGCGGTTGAGTTGTTCTATTAGAGCTTTGTTTTGGGACAGGTATTCGATGCATCTTTGCTCTTGTGCATGCTTCACATTCTTGGCTGGTTTCACCCTTAGTATATTTCATACCAGTGACTAAGTTTCCTTGTGCCAATTTATTGATGTATCCAAAGTTTAAGTGCCCATATCTACAATGCCATTCCCTTAGTGTTGGGACTTTTGTTGTTGTAATGTTAACATAGTCTGGTTGATTGTTTACAACATATAACTTGCTTTCGAGCAAATGTCCAATGTTGATTGTCTTCCCATTCTTGATTATATAACATTTTTCATCGTCGAATATAACCTCAGCTTCCATTTGGGTCATCGCTGGGACTGATAGTAGATTCTTCTTAATTTCTTGGACAAATAATACTTTATGTAAATTTAAAGTAATGTTGTCTGCACCATCATTACATTCAAGATTCACTTTTCCTTCGCCATACGCTTTGATGACTCTATTATCTCCAAGATAGATCTTAGATGGTTCCTCATATTTCTTGTAATCAGTTATAATATTCCTCTGAAATGTCATGTGTTTAGTTGCTCCACTATCAATGAACCATTGATCATTTTTCCTTTTATTGGTGGATGTAGAGCTTAAAGCTATTCCTTCATTTCCACGTTTATCTTGCTCGCCTTCTTCAGTGATATTTGATTCATTTGATTTCTTGTTAAGAGGACAGTTCTTAACCATGTGACCAAATTTCTCACATTTGAAACATTTAATTCCTCGCATCTGGTTTGGTCTCCTCTGATTGTGTACACCACTGTCTCGGGTATGGTTGCCATACTGTCTGCCACCACGAAACTGATGATTCCTTCCACGGAATGAATAATTACTCTTCCTCGAAAATAATGCATCGTTCTGACCTGGACTCTCTGTTTGCTTTTCTTTTCGCTTCATGTACTCTTCAACCAATAAGCTCTTGACATTTTCCCATTTAAGATCTTCTACTTTCTGAGCATTCAAACTTGAAATAAAGTTTTCATACGATTCAGGAAGGCTTCCTAAAATCACTGTGGCAAATTTCTGATCTGAAATCTCCTCTTTCATTTCTCGCAATTGCTCTGCCAGTGTTGTCATGTACGTAATATGCTCCATTATATCGCCATCTTCTTTCATAGTAGCAGCATAAAATCTGCGGTTTAATCTTACGATTTGAGTGATTGAAACGAACTCGAATTGCTTTCGAATTGTCTCCCAAGCTTCCAAAGGATTTGTTGTTGTACTAATGTGAACTTGTAGATTCTTATCAACGCTTAGTGCAATCAATGAATATGCTTTGTCAGATCTTAGTTGATACGCACTTTTTACCTGTGCAGTGGCGGTTTCAGCTGGCTGTTCCTCAGTTGCATTTACAAAACCCCATAATCCTCGCTCCATCAATACTAATTTCATGTTATACTTCCAAGATTGGTAGTTCTTTCCATTTAAATGTTCAATCTTTGTAATTTCCCTTATTTCCGCCATATTGAATTTTTCCTTCGCAAACAATAGCTTAGTTTGCACTTTTCAACGGCACGTTTACGCTTCAGTAAACACACTATATTATTCCCGTCAATTAAGACATACGTATCGTACACTCAAGCGGCACCTGGGCCCATAACCTGTTAAAAACCATGTTATTTAATATGAAATATAAACGTTTTACGTACGATACATGAATACAATATATACGCTTCGACACATACGATCAGGAGAGAGAACAACGTGTTCGAAAGTCATGTGATCACCGTCCAATCATATCTCTTAAAACAAAATACTTAATGTATGCAATAATATAAATGATTATTACTAATTTCAACAAAAACAATCAAACCCTTGCCGTGGTGTCTCTAAAATATATAAAATGTAGCCCAAAGGTTGTTACATATATTATTAAGCAGAACATGTGGCATTATAACTAAATGTATTCATAAGTTTGAACAAGCAAACTAATTAAGGACTTTAACTGTTTTCAGTTAGGGACACATCTATAATCAAGTTGCCACATATGACAACAACACATTAAATTGATATTTTTATCTATCCTAAACTCACCCACCTATATATGAATAAATATTGGAAACTTATGAAAGTACCAGTTAATTTGAAACCAGTCGATAAATTTTCTCAAACCATGTTTAGCTGGGACATGTCTGGGTAGGCATATGAGAATTGAGTAGATGCCATCATGTCAAGCTATATTATTTTATACAACAAACACTGGAATCTGCCAATCTGTCATATACACTATAGTATACACAAAGATCAAAGTATACTATTTGGCATTCAATAAACATCATTTATAAATATAAAGGCTGAGTCAAATGTAGGCCATTCTATAAAACTAATGTTGTTTTAATACAAATATTGTCGCAGCAAATTGAAATTTTAAGCCGGAACATGTGCTCAAAATTCACGAATGAAGATAGTAAATATTTCCTTTCAAAATTGCTCTATTTATATATAAAACATAACAAAATTCTTACCTGGATGTTATCCAGTCATCCCTGACCATTTATCTTTACAATAAGTAACACTTTCGCTCAATAAAAGCTCTGTATTTGAGCCATTTCGAGCGAAAAGTTTAAAACAAAAAAATTTTAAAATATGGCGTTGTGAATTGTGACGCTATCCCAGAAAGCTTTGCGCGCTTTGTAAGAAAATTAGGCACCAGTCTGTCAAACTGCGCTCGTCGTGAGAATTTTTGGTGGTATTTATGGCATGGTGTTTTGTCAAAAATGCTGTTTTGTCAAGAGACAAAATACCTACCTCCACAAAGTCCACAAAGACTATAAATATTTTTGTAAATATAATTTCAATGAACTGATGAAAAATTTAAAATTAACTAACTCAAACTGGGAAATTTTAACCAGTTAAATAAATACATTTACCCTTCGAAAATGATTTAAATGCAACATTTCTGATCAAAATCACATAGGGATCCCCCCCCCCCCCAAGCATCACAGAGAGGAAATAAGGTGACACTGACCCCTCCTCCTAGTCTCCTCAAGGTGACTTTTCCAATTTATTTAATTCCGAGTAGAAATGTCTGGAAAAATTCATGTCTTCGATGTACTTTATAATCTTCGGAACTCTTCGGAATTTCACTCCCAAAATGCTTGAAATCGCAATTCAGGGAACCTAGATTTGAAAATTTCCCCGGGGTGCATGCCCCCGGACCCTCCTAGACTGTTCGAACCCCCCCCCAAAAAAAAAAAAATTAAGGTCTGGCTATGCCACTGGTTATAGCTGTACGATTATAGCTACAAAGGGTTGAAGTTATTGTCTATATAGGAGAAGTTAATAAATTCAAGTTTTACAAAATCTCTCTTCAGACTCGCGTGTTCGCCAAACTTCGATGGGTCATATTTTTCGTTCTGCCTTTTTTCCTGTTTTGCCCCCCCCCCCCTCCCTAGTAAAAATTCCTTAAAAAAGGCACTGTGCTATTTATTAGCTATTTTAACAATAGCTCTAAAAATAAAAGTAAACATAGTGTAAAAATAGCTATTTAATAGCCATTTTGACCAAAATTCGCTACAACTTTCTATGAATAGGAATTAAATAGCTATTTAAGATCTACTTATTTTGCTATTTAATAACTATTCTAAGAATGGCTCTAAAAATTAAAAAATAAAAGAAAACATAGTTTAAAAATAGCTATTTAATAGCTATTTGGAACAAAGTTCGCCACAACTTTCTATGAATAGGAATTAAATAGCTATTAGCCAACATGAGTGGACGTGTGTTTCTGACCTCCCTGTTTTGCACATTAAGCTTGCTAATCTTTGGCTTCCAAGTTTACAACTCCAAGGTGAGACATCATACGAGTCGTGGCAATCTATCTCTGCCTTACTTTGAAAGGCCGTTAACGAGTTCAACATTGTCAATTTGGTACCGTTTGGGTAATCTTAACACGACGAGATTTCATCATATACAAAATAAACGAGGTAGGCGAGCAAGATTTTTCTCTTCGCGAATCGGCTACTATTCTAATTCAAACGCTACATTTCAATTCGAACGTATATCTGTAAGCGGGGACGTTTCTCCTAATCCTGGCCCGACAACTGACTCAACGAGGCAGACAACACAATCTTCTCGCCATGAGCTGAAATGCCTTTATTTTAACTCAAGAAGCGTGGTCAATAAAACTAGAGAACTTGAAGTGATTGCTAGCTCTAAACAATATGACCTTATAGCTATCACCGAAACATGGTTGAACGACTCAATAAGCAATAATGAATTACTTCCCTCGAACAAGTACTATATACATCGCCGTGACAGAGAAGTGCCAAGCCGTGGGGGCGGTGTTATGCTCGCAGTCGGTAGCACATTACAATCAGTACGAAGGACAGATTTAGAAACAAATGCCGAGATTCTCGTTTGTGAAATTAGACCAGAAGCAAAAAAGAAATTTCTGTGTGTAGTTTTTTATAGACCACCGTCATCCAAATCTGAGTATATGAATTGCTTCAAGAACTTTCTTCGCAAAGCATCTAAAACACGCATTTCGCAACTTGTAATACTGGGAGATTTTAATTTTCCCGATATAAATTGGTCAACTGGAACGGCTATGCATAATGACTGTTTGCACAATGAATTCACCAAAATGGTCAGAGATAACTTTTTATGGCAAATGGTTGAATTTCCAACACGCGGTGCAAACATTCTTGATCTACTATTAACAAACATTCCGCACAAAGTTAAAGATGTTTGTGTTTTCGATGATATTCTCAAAACTGACCATAAACTGATTGACTTTAATTTAAGTTTTATCATTAATAAAAAACGTCCTGTCAAAAGGATTGTTTATAACTGGAAGAAAGCCGACATAAGTGGTTTAAAACAATCAATTTCGCGTACCCCCTGGGACCTTGCATTTGATGAATCATCCGTTAATATAAGTGTGACTAATTGGATGGACTTATTGTTGACAATAACAAACAAGCATGTACCGCAGGTTGCAATATCGGATAATAATAATAAACCTTGGATTGATAAAGAGGTCATTCAGATGATGCATAAAAAAGATCGACTGCGTAAAATAGCGAAGAGAACGGGTGATCATACGGACATTGAGAATTTTGAAGAAATTAGAAGAAATGCTGGAAATCTTATTGAAGTAAAATATAAGGATTATTTGAACGAACTCAAATCAAATTTAACTGAACATCCGAAACGTTTTTGGACATTTATTAAAGCAAAAACTAGAGCATATAGCACTCCTCAATTTCTGAAATACGGAAATGTATTCGCCACAGACGGCAAGGATAAAGCTAATC